TATACTATGTCGTTTTTTTTTCGTGCCAAAAATGGTATTCTATACTATGTCGTTTTTTTCGGGCTAAAAATGCCTTACTATACATGGTCGTTTTTTTCGGCTAAAAACGCCTTGCTTAAAACGCCTTACAATACATGGTAATTTTTTGTTGTCAGAAACACCATCCGAGACTTAAAAAATTACACACACACAAAAAAAGCCTGACCATTCATGGCCTTATATTTGGGGGAAATAAACAGTCTTCTATCGTTGCAATGTCTGGTGTTCATTACCTGCCTGGTAGTCGAATGGTTCGTTCGTCGGTGTTGCGCTGCGGAGGTGCAGGTTTCGATTCCGCCTTCGACCTTTCGGTGCGGGGTTGCAAGTTCTCCCTGTTACTGCGCAGGTTTCCAAAAACCTGCGTGGCCGTCCATTTTCTCATCCTCTGCGTCGCACAACTCTTCGCGCCCACACTCACACTTAGGGACAATGTAAAGTACTCATTCCCCTTCTGGTCGTCGAATGGTTTGTGCGTCTGCGTCACAACGCATACGTCTGCAGGGTACGATTCCTGTGTGTTAAAAACATGCGTGGCCATTTCTTTTCTGATCATCTTTTCCGCACAACTATTCGCGCTCACACTCACTCCGAGGGACAGTGTGTCGTGTTCAGGACCTATCTTGTTGTCGAATGGCTAGTGCGCCTGCAGAGGAGCACCGTTTGATTCTGTCTCGGGCCTTCCTGTGTGTTCGCAAAACATGCGTGGCCATCCATTTTCTGATCCGCTTCTCCGCACAACTCTTCGCGCTAACACTCACACTAAGGAACAATTAACAAAACCCCTTACTATACATGGTCGTTTTTTTCGGGCTAAAAACGCCTTACAATATATACATGGTCATTTTTTTTGGCTAAAAACGCCTTACTATACATGGTCGTTTTTTTTTCAGCAAAAAAACGCCTGCGTATAGATGGTCGTTTTATGGGGCTAAAAACACCTTCCAATACATGGTCGTTTTTGTCGGCTAAAAACACCTTACTATAAATGGTCTGGTTTTTTTCGGCAAAAAAGCTTATTATACATGGTCGTTTTTTTAGGGGGCTCAAAACGCCTTAGTATACATGGTCGTTTTTTTAGGGGGCTCAAAACGCCTTAGTATACATGGTCGTTTTTTGGGGCTAAAAATCGCAGTGTAACTTTCCCAAATGTATGGCAGAGGACGATCTTTGCAATCTTCCTCCATGCTTTTCAAAGCCAGAAAGGCACTCAATTCAGCCATGAGCATGACAAAGTGAGTGACGCCTCGGAATCTGACACCTTCTGATATGATGCCTGATGTCAAGTAACATTTTAGCGCAGGGCAGCTCAGACTGCTCCCTTGAGAAGCTCGTCCGAGTTTTGTCCATACATGCCAGAGATGCTGGCAGAGAAGAGGAGCAAGAGGGACAAGTCTTTATTAACTGAGGATTTGTTCTTGACAATTCGTGGTTGGATCCGTGTACAGAGACTGACAGAAGGACAGAAAGTATTCCGTCAAGTGGTCCCCGCGGAGTCACTCTTGACTTTTTGTTCTAAAAAGTTCCAAACTGTGTTTAGTCTATCGTTCACATCAATAGCCCCATGTGAATGGTGCATAGGCGTCACTGGCATAGTGCCTACTTGGAGCCGAGTGTGCTTGTGCACATATATGAAATCCACAACTGCTGGGTTGATATACTGCTCAAGGATACTTTGACAGGTCAAGAGAGGAACTGAGGCTCAGACACTTTCAACACCGACATATACAGCAGTTGTTGGGTCATTATATTTGAAACGTTTTGAAGAAGCACCAGGTAACCTTCAATCGCGGGCGCACAAGTGATCAGACATTGTGAATTTCCAGGACTCTCATCAAAGTGAAGAAATCAAAATGTAAACACTGGAAAAGATGGGTCATATTTTGTAACTGTCACCCTTACGAAAAATGTTAAAAAAAAAAAAATTCTCTGAAAAAGAGCATCTGTCAGCTCAAGACCCTCCTCACGAGCTGACGTTTTTCCGATGTAGGCACGAGGACATGGCAGCGCTTACAGTTCAGCACACTGTCCCACCACATGAAGGCCTCAGTTAGTGTTTGACTGAGACATATTTCCAGACGGCGGCCCGCACTGTGGCAGGAGATGAGGAACACGCTACAAGCATCCTCGCTCACACTGCCAGCGCTAAGCCTTTCATAATCGCCCAGGAATTATGCACATCCCAGTTAAAGCGTTGGTAGGATGAGTTATGGCGGTGGTTGGTTCCCCGAGAAGTCTGCCAAAAAAAGATGATTTAGTTCTATCACACGTCTGGGGTCTGAGGCTTCCTCCGACACTCTTCAAACACACGTCTTTATTGTGAAGGCAACGGAATGTGAAGGGTGCCGAGTGAAAAAAAAACCCTCACCTAACAGTGACATTTCCAACATGGCAACCATGACAGCAGTGTTCATCTCTGCAGACAGAAATAACGACACAACCTGTTCCAGGTTGTTTATTGATTTAACAAGCGCCTCGACATAATCTGAAGTGTGTTTAAGTCACGGCGACACTTTTACTTCAAAAAGAGAAAAAAATAAAAGAAAAACACATTTGAATAGATAGGGCAGTCTGTAGTGAATATGTAGGCAGTACATTCAGCTTTACAACTTAGGAATGATCCCATCAATTGCTAAACTACACAAAATGTACAGAAGAATATTTCATATATCTCAACAGAAAAAAAATGGCAGACATAATAGTATGCACTCATGTAATAATAGTATGCACTCATGTATCTCAACAGAAAAACAATGGCAGACATAATAGTATGCACTCATGTAACAATAGAATTTTGTGTTCAACAACACTGCATTGTTAAAACCTATTTGCGGTTTTATTATGAGCTAAATCTAAGTTGACAAGACAGGGCTACACATAAAAAAAAAAAAAGGCAAGGCAGTTCCGCATGCAGGTAAAAAATGAAAAATCCCATTTGTGATTAGACATTGTAGTGTGCTATTCATGTCACTTTCACAATCCCTGTATTAAAAGATCGGACACTCCGAGCGAGCTACTGTACATTTCCCAGATTCAACACCAGCACGACTGTTAAAACCATTAGCAGAATGTGGCAGCGCTGAGCACAGCCTTCTTTGACTCTCCACATGTCGGCAACACTTGCCGCACTGTTTCATATTGAACACTTTTCCTTCATCGTGACACAAAACAGTGCAGTTAGTGATATCACTGATATTATCTGTCGGAATGAGGGAGCGCCAGAGAGTCTCGCACTCTATTCAAGTGCCACATGGACGAGAGGCGTTCCCCTCTTCGGTGTTGGGTGGAAAGCTTTTTGCTGGTGCCGATCCATTTGATTCATCCATTCATGTCCAAAAAATAAAAACTAAACCAGAGCTTTATAAGTCAAAGTCAATAAAAGTGGTAAAATGTCATCCAAAACACTTGCTAAGTCGATTATATTCTGAGCAAATGAGGCAGTTGCGAGGGACTTTAAGATGGTTTGGCATTACAGAACATTTGCAGAAGCAAAGTGTCGTGTAGACTATATCATATACTCTGGACAAAAGTCTTGGGACACCTCCTTTTATCTCAATCAGGGACTAGCGAGCTTGCTTTACTTTCAGTTGAACAATGATATACTTCCAACTTTGTGTTTGAAGGAGGGCCATTTGTGTTCCAGCACGACTGGAGGTCCAGTGCACAAAGGAAGGTCCTTGAGACCGAATGGGTTTGGTGTCGAAGCACTTGAGAGACCTGGCCGCACCCCATTAAAAGGATTGAAAGTTGTTTTCGTAAGGAAAGATGTGTACTTTCTTCCATTCCCACTTTGTCCAAGTGTAACAGTCTGGTGTCCCAATCCTTTTGTCTCTACAACAAAGCATCTGTACCTGCTCCGATTCAGATAAGCCAGCTCAACATATTCCTTCAACAACAACAAAAAAAATACACTTGGTTCATATAATTCCGTGATCCTATTTCGGAACACCAGGTTATGACACACTTTGGTCTCATTGAGCAGACTTGCCTCCTTTTGAGAGTGAAGAAAAAAAAAAAAAAAAGAGTTGCAGAGAGTAAACTGACAAATGGTGATTCATCACAAAGTCCTGCAACTCCACAAAAAGAGGCAAGCCGAACACAGGACACATCCTACGATGAGATCAAGGCTGAGCGGCTTTTGCATTTCATGCGCACCTTTATAAAAGAACATGTGCAAATAGTAACGCCTGTGTGAACACAGGCGGGGTGGACGATCCAGCCCACCGTCCGGGTACTCGGCTATCAACTACACAACAAGTGATGGGAGGAGGAGGAGGACAGAAGCAGGGGACGGAAGCAGAGGTTTGCGTCGGAGTGCGTCGGGTATTCCCACCTCTATGTCAGAAACTTGCTTTGCGTGTATGCGGGCGTTGTCTAGAGTAGCGAGCAGTATCCACCGCAGCTGCCACCTCCCGCGTCCTCGTCGGTGAGCTGCACTGATCTGCCGTGGCTCTCGCTCTGCCATAATCCCGGACTCTGGATGATCTTCTCCACCAGCTCCTCAAATGCACACTGAACGCCATCCCGGGTCTTTGCACTCGCCTCTGTGAGGACACAGTTCAAAATTAGAAGCGATGCGAGACGCGTGAACTCATTCAAGGACAGGGGAAAAGTCGAGTGCGCCGCAGCTGACTTTTTGAGTTTTGATTTATAAATAGACTGTAGAAAAATTCCTCTTGGGAGTATTAGAGAGACACTTCAAAAAGCAGTTTCCCCTCTTGTAATAGTCCACTGCAACGTGCCCAGTGGCGCTTCAGAGAGGAGGGAATCCTCCTGGCTTACCTATAAAAAGCATGGAATGTTTTCTTGCAAACTTCAGTCCTTCGGCCCTGTCTAGCTCGTGGTTTTCCTGAAACAAAGAAGTAGTAATGACTTATTTGCGGTCTGACGGGTGGATCTGCCAACTACCGTGAGCATCTGAGGGCACAGAGGAATAGGGATTTTTTTTTTTTTTTGCACTAACAGAACACAATGAATTCATAATGCTCTATTTAGCGGTCCACTGCCACTGGCATCCCGGTTTAACACAAGCTGCCAAAAATATGTGGGTGGGTCTGCCATACTCAGTTAGTTCAGTCATTTGTCCAATGGCTGATTTTGGACATCTAGTCTGGTTTTGTGTTACATGATGGCTTAATAGATATTGAAGTGTGATCACAGTGACTACTGGGCAGGGGCAGGGTTGCCATTGGGAATTTGGGGAAAATATCTTAATTTTACCAAAAGAGAGGCATGTTTTGGGCAATTTCTTTCATATCAAGTAGTCTCGCAAAAGCAAAACTTTTGAAAATGATCTCAAAAAAACTGAACTCTCTGCGGCGACAGTGGGTGCACAGCCATAAATCAAATATATTCCACCGGTTCCACAACTGAGATATAAAAAAAAAGACCAAGAGCAAAAACATCCTCACCTTATCTATTTTGTTTCCAACAAGCATTTTCACAAGATCATTCCTTGTACAGTATGTCTCCAGTTCATTGAGCCAGTTTTCCAGTTTGGTAAAAGTCTCTCGCCTCGTGACATCATACACTAGGCCGAATCAAACAAACACAAGCATGCTGACAATGTAAGGCAATTCAAGATCGACACATTTCACACACGGAAGTAATACATATTAATTAAGAGTGTAAGCCTAACCTTTAAGACATTTTGGTATAATACATTTGATATTGTTAAAAGTAGAAAAAAAATGCTAGTGTTTGTTACAAAACACACAGGAAAAGGACTCGAAAAAAATATTCCCATACTAAATAGCAATTGCAATTTCGATTGGGGAGAAAAAAAAAGAAAAGAAATTGCAATGACATGATTTTTCCCAAATCTTTCAGCGCTAATAGTAATGTACCAATGAAGGAAAGAGGATCCATGTGTGCAATGAGCATGATGATGGCCTACCTAGGATGACTCCTTGCGCACCGCGGTAGTAACTAGGTGTCAGGGTTCTGAAACGCTCCTGTCCAGCAGTGTCCTGTAACATAAAACCATCTCAACTTCAACCGAAAAAAAAAAAGCTCTAACAAAGCAAAGATCAGGGCAGGAAAAAAAAAAGAAGAGAAGCGCCAGGATTTAACGAAGGTGGACTCAGTGTTACATGAGTGCCATCTTCTGGACACCAGATGGAATTGTAAGGCTGCAGTCCTGAAATACTGTACAGCTGACTATTCTGGTTGATAACAGAATTATGGTACACTTACCCATATTGCCAGCTTTGCCTTGTTACCATCTACACTGATGGTCTTCACTTTGAAGTCAACACCTACACAATTAAAGAGCAACCACTCAATAATCAATCAAAGTATTGATATGTTAGGATAAACTCAACCCGCTGCAGTACAAGCACCATTCTTCAAATAAATAACTAAATAAAAATACCATGCACGAACTGTCAATATCGTGGATTTAAATTTAGCCGCCAAATTGTGTTTTTCATTCGGAAAAATAGCTGCATGTAGAGCATTACAAGTAGAAACAAATAAAAGAGAAAGAGAAGAAATGAAGTGGGGATATTCAAGACTCAACGCATGCACTTGATACACAGGAACAAATGACAACAACTACAGTACATTTACCTGCAATCCATCAAGATTGCTCAAACTTTACTGCGGAGACACGCGAAGGCCAGCATATCCATGACACATTTTTGACTTTGGAAAGGTCTCTCCATTTTAATTGGCCTTTTATTGCGACTGTTATTTTTTCCAGGAAGCAGACGTTGAGCTATCACGCTAATCCGCGAACACTAAACGTTACACAAACCAAACACATGGCAATTTATTGTCTCTTCTCTTTCCATACACAATGGTGAGCAGCTGCTATAATAATCTGTGATCACTCATTTGTAGCGTCATTTGAAGGGTGGGTGCCGCAGCGTCCACAATCAAGATTAGTATCAACAAGTTAACGTGACAAAGGATTGAGAAAGCGACCGGCGTAATGAGTCGGCCGTATTGCTCCAGCTGGTATTTTGACTTTTTTCTGAAAATGAGTGGCAATGGATTTTGTTGAAATCTTAAGTCAACAAAGGAGGCTTGACTTCAATGTAGACGTTTGTTTGTCAAAGAATCCCAGCTGGCCAAGTTAAACCTTGGAAAATAATTTGATTTTTTTCTTTTTTTTTTTTTTTTTTTTTTTGTCGTTGAAAGGTTTTGGGTGGTTGTTTGAACAGACATATCATGTCCGAGTAATTCAAAACCCAGTCCAGTCACTCAGAAAACCAAGTGAAACTACAAGCAAATGTGAAATATCTCAATCACCGGTTCCCTCTCCAATAAATGCCAACTTCCAACAAACACTTGGTAGTCTCCGCTTCTATTTGGGGAAATGTTTCATGTGAGGAACTCAATGCCAGATTGTCCTTTAGTGTTAAAATAATCTGAATGAGTTCTTGCACCTCCTCTTGTTTCAGTTTTATCGTCATCAAATGAGCTCACCCATCTTACTCACCTATTGTGGCAGTTTGCTCTGGGTCAAATGTGTCATCTGTGAATCGTAGGAGGAGGCTGCGAAGAGGAATAAGAAAACAGAAGGCATGGTTGAAACATCAAAACAACACAGTAGACTTTTTTTTAACACATAATTTGATGCTGACATAGCATGTGATGCCAGAGAATCAGCTCGCTCGATTGACTGCTCCGTGCTTAACTCGCCCAATTGCAAGATGACATCATTCCCAGGTTGTGGTCAGTGGGACAGAGTTCACTCTTCACCACATGTGATTAAGTGTAAAAGTCTTACTCACAGCAAGGCTAAATTCAGTGAAACAATGACCTAAGAACAACTTTTTTTCCAACCCTGAATGCCTAAACAGTGAGTGTACAGCCAACAAGCGACTCATGAAGATGGTCTAGCTAAAAAAAAGTGCACCGTGCCCAAGTAATTTTTGTGATAAATGGAAGTTTTAACTGGGTTGAAATGTCCCGGATTAGTTAAAGGCTGTGAAACAAAATCAAAGCTAAGCCATCCAAAAGCTTTTTTGTATAATAAGAGAAAATTGCTCTCTGGAAATCCTGCCCTTGACCTCAGTGATGCACTTAAAGGCATTGGAGGGTACATTGGTAGATTTGGCCACAAACTCATCCATTTTCAGGAAATATAAACAAACATGGGACTTGCACGGTGTTGGCATTTCATCTGATTGTTTAGCCATACCAGCAATCACAGCAAGAAAAATAGTGGCAATGCCAGGAAAAAGGGCATTCTTTCGTAAATTTCCTTAATCATACACTGTGCCAATATATTGAATTAAGGTATGAAAATAAAAGAAATGGGACTTCGACCAATGCTCTGGAAGTATTTACTGCTGACTTTGGCTGACATTAAGAAAAAAGATTACAACAAACATTTAAAACTAATGACTGGGTTGGGATGGGCTCGGTTGACAACTTCCTGACTCTGAATGCAGATTCATGAACCTTTTCAAAGGATAGTTAAGAGTTTTCTAGATTTTCCTGCACCCTGCAGTTGTGGCCAACTGCAATATTGTACATTTTTACAAATCTACACATAGCAAATTATTTTACAACCCGATCACAAGTGACGATTTGTAGGCTATCGATCTGAACTACACCGGACACCCTCGCTGATCAAAGTGGATTGTCAATGCCTGATCATTCTTGTCGCTTGCTATGACTCGTGAAGGCTTTTAACAGTCTGAGTGAGCCACAGTCTGCAATGCGACGGTTGATGCCTCAGAGTGGCTGTTATTAATCACGCACACAGTCATAAATACTAATACGTCTCAATAAGCTCTTTGTTAACTGACTCGATCCAAAGAATAACCAGCCAAATGCCAGTAATCATTATAGTTGGACAGGCTGACCCACTTCACTTGCAGTTAGTGACAAGCAACTCGGATTAATATGATTATTGTTATATCCACCAGATAAACAGCGTTGTGCACTCAGTGGTATATTACGCTGCGAGGCGGCAGTTTGGATACGATAGCAACATGTAATAACGTCACTGTCGATTATCGTCTGAATTGCTTCGAATCAACCAACGGTTTCAATGTCTGTCATCATTTCTGACGAATTTCAAATTGACAACGCAATATCTGTCAGCGATGATCTCACCATGTTATCTGGCTGGCAAGCTAAGTAAGCCAGTGTGGTGAAAACAGCCTAATCGTATTATAATGCATTACAAGAATCTACAGTAAAGATATTCCTGCCGCATTGTTTATCCAAATAAGACTGCCAAACAGTGTAGCGACTTGAACGCGCATGTTTTGCCCCAACAATGCGCGACTCACCAACGAGTCTGCTCGTCAGCGCTAGCCGTTAGCGCAACGTCCCCGGTGCCTTACCTGGACTTCCCGACACCACTTTCTCCAATGATTAGTATTTTCAACGTTGTCAGAATGTCGTCTTCCATTGCCTCGGATAGGCAAACTGTCCCTCTAAACAGAACAACTCCAACGACCGTTTAAACAAGGATTCCTAACAGCTAGCATTCCTGTTTACTGCTTCGGGTGGGCTGAGTTTGACAGCATTGCTTTTGGTGGCCTGCAGTCCAACCGTTTCCGGTAAGACGTCGATGAGCTTCCGGTTTGTGACTTCATAGTTTGTTTATTACGCTGGCCTGCATCAAAAAATAAACAAGAATGACATTTTTAAGATCCGATCGTTCACACTGAAGACAGCGTTTTGCCCCACATGATCCAGTTTTCCCGGAGTCGTAGATGTTATTTATATATATATATATATTTTGTGATTACAGTATATATTATAAATACACGTATGAAGTACATGAAGAAACTGAAAATCTGTAAATGTCAGTGCACACCCTTTCATCGAGGAATAAAGTTATCCTCAAATACACATTTTCTTCACCTACACTGTTAATATGCCTTTCAACCGTACAAAAATCAGATTTTCCTGAAACAAAAAAAAATCTTGCAAAAAAAAATAAAAAAATTACACACACACACAAACAAAAAATATATTAAATATAAAATATTTGGATGCAACATCCGAAATTGCTCTAAAAAAATTTTGCTGGCTACTTTGTTTTTATGAATTTGTTTCTATTATTTTTGGAATGCATCTATCCACATATTTTTAGATCAAAACCTTTAATTACAAAGGCAATCTCTCTCTCTCCCTCTGACACTATCACACCTTTTTAGTGTCACTTATGGTTTACGAGGGGATGCCTGGATTATATTCTGCCTATTTTTGGAAACAGACACCAACACTCTTTTGGGGGTTTATTTAATAAATAAGTCATTACAGCATTGGGAGAGAACATGGTGATTGAAATAACAGGCACTTTTCAAACAATACTGTAAAGGCTCGTGTGTGGTGCTTCTGAGGCATTAGGGTGACTGGTGTTACAATATTTCTGCAAAAACAAAACACACACAAAAAAATGTACGACCGACAATGACGTTCACAAATGATGTTTTTGGCATGCTTGGCAAAAACACAGTAAAGGACCTGAGAATAAATAAGTCACTCCTATTGGTAAATTAGATGAATTACAATCCATAGTGTTTATTTAAAAAAAAAAAAAAAACAGAAATCCTTTGACTCAACATCAGTATCCTTTTACAATTGTACAAGTGGTATACAGTCAAAAACTCGTGAGTGCAATAAAATTTCATGATTTCTGAGCTGCAGTCCAAACCACATTTACAAATAATTCATTTGCCTATGCAGCATGAAAATGTTTTATTAAAACGCCAAACTAAAGAATTAACTCGCTATTTGCGTTTGTTTTTCAAGATATACACATACTGTGGCAAAATGTGCTGCTTTGGCCGATGACTTGCATAAATATCAAAAACACCTCAGGTCTTGTCACACAGAGAGGCACCACAGACAAACAGTCAGTGCAGAAAGACATAAGAAAGGATAGCGTACGAGCTGAGAGATTAGCATAGCATTGAAGAAGCTGAATATTTCTGGGGCATAAATTATTATTTATGATATCCACCTTCTGCTGGTAAAAGGAGTGAACTGATATGCCCGCACCTGACCTTTGGCAGGCTAGATAAACAACTTCAATTCACAAACTTTCAAGAAATATGAATTTGTAAAGTATATACACATACTGTACATCTAAAATACAACAAAAGCATATAAATATGTGTTAATAAAAATACAGACGCATGTGCATTGTAATGACGAAGCAACAATAAAAAACAACTTGATCCTCCTCAGAAGCCAAACCTCCAGCAAATGCTGAAGATGTCAAATTCTTGCTCATCATTTGCCTTCATATTTGGGATTGACCACCGTCGTAACAGCACTTTTGTAGATGGGATTTTCACCCTGGGGAATTAAACGAAACATACAGTCAGAATGATAATTCAATGTAATGACAGACAACGGGGCTTGAAGTTCCAATTGGCGAACATTATTTTTGGTATTAGATTCATTTACAGTGCACTCAAAACACAATCACGGCATGTCTTTGAGATGTTGGAAGACTTTTTTTTTGTAAACATACTTACCAGAAAATGCCTTTTTGTAATTGTAGCCAGAAAGGACACTCGATCGTCAAATTCTGTGGCTCACAGCACACTCGTGCACTTGCTTTTGTCACTATTACATTTCACCTTCCCTTGTAAGCTCATGTATTATTTAGGGGTTCGCAAACAGAGAGACACAAGAAGATACTGAGAGACAGTGCACACACAAACAAACCCATGCAGTAAAATAAAGTGGAAATGTGAAAGAATACGAACTTAAAGGACAGCAGCTCTACGTCCATAGTTTGGATTCTGGAACTGATTGATAGGACTCTTGTATATGGGGTTGTCTTGCTACAGATAGAGAATGAGCACAGAAAGATTTCAAGAGAGGGGGAACAAATGATAAGACGGCAAGACGCAGACTACGAAAAGGCAAGAATGACAGACGTGCACAACACAAATGTGAAAGTGAACGGGAATACTGCACTAAAAAGACTGGAAAGCGCCCAATCGAGGACTACACCAATCACACCACAAGGTGGAGAAAGAGACATACGTGTCCTAAACTTAAGGTTTTATCGACTCCACCACTAGGTGGAGGCTGATCGCAGCCCAAAGTCGGGCTGCAGTCCTGTCATATTGATGTTGGCTGATGACTGTAGGCCAGGCAGGAAGTTGGGAAAAGGAGGAGGCGCAGACACTCCCCGGAAAAATCTCCGGCTACGCTCCGAGTGCATAACATTCCCTAAAAAGTCCATGGAGCCTCCAACATTTTCCGTTTTCATTTGAGTGCTGTTCAAAGGCAACATATTGGATCTGTTTTTCCAGATGACTTGAGAAAAAGAAAGTGAACAATATTTTCGGGGCGCAAAACTCTTCGGCTGTTCGGAACGACACACGAGCTTCACAAATGATTAATTTACTGTTTAGAGACCACAGACTCCCCACACCTGTTTTTTGTATTAATATGACTCAGGGAACTGTTATAGCCATTAAAAGTATGCCGTCAATATCTCACAGAGCTTGTTGTACTTCCGGACCCTCACCGTGTCCCATTTGGCATTCATCTTCTCCTTCTCAAATTTGGCAAATTCTCTTCTGTCGTGGATGATTGTCAGCAGCTTCCAGATGAGCAGCAGAGCTAAACCAATTAAGACGATGCCAGTAACTACGCCCGCCACAATGGGTATGATCTCAGGACCAGCAGGACAGTCTGAAACACAGCACTGGAGGGTTAACACAAACACATCAAGGACACTTTCAGTCGGCGGTAGGTACAGCTACTTCAGAGTTAGTTTGCAATCCAATTGTCAGAAAGCCTGAAACGAACATTGCCCCGAAAAAACAAAACAAAACACAATAATCGCATCCTAGTTGATGTTCGGCTTCCAGCTCACCCAGCGTTTCAACCACATGGACCTCCTTTTCTGTGTTGTTGTTGACAGCGTAGGTGTAGTAGAACCAGCAGTCGTTGGCGTCCCTCTCCTTACAGTGCATCACAGGGTAAGAGGCGTCATTTGGCTGAGGCAGCTTGTCCCTGTCCTTCACTTTGATCAAGTTGAAATAGCTGCAGTCGCGTTCACATGTTTCCTTCATCTCACCTGTGCCGAAAGCCCGACACTGGACGCACTCCCTGGAAGAAAAATAGGTCACCACACATGATGAGCGACGAAGCTAAGCTGGATCGAGTTTCACTTGGTCGGGATTGTCTGGTTAGGAAGTTTTTCTTCCAACTTTTATTAATGAGCATTGGATACCGCCAACAAAATACTTTTGATTTTGAGTCATAGCGGAGCAGCATTGTAGAAACACGCAGGAAAAAAAATTCCAAGTCATTCCCTTTGCTAGAATGCTTTCATAAAGAAATTGTCTGATGGTTTTCCCACAAATTAGAACCTCTACTTGTTTTGACCCCATTTATTGATTTTCTCTTCTCTATGAAAAGCAATTTTTAAAAAAGTGTGATTACCAACACGTATCTTTTCGACTACAAAGGTGAACAGGAAACTTTTTTTTTTTTTTTTAACTTGTTGTGCTGAGATAGTTTGTGTATAAAAGTCCTTCTTTTCAGGTAGGTCAAACTTACTTGTGTTCAGTGCACACTCCTGGACAGGTAGGGCACGTTTCGCAGGTGGGACCCTGAAATTTAGGGTCAGTACACTTGCAAGTGCCACATTCACATGTGCCTCTGCCATTACAAATCTGCTTGTTGCTGGCTAGACACGTGCTTGTATCCAGAGAACACTCACAGGCGCTCCCAGTCCACATGTTGTCACAGATGCACACTCTGCACTCACAACGCCCGTGCCCTAAGGAAAAAAGAAAAAAAAAAAAACAAACAACAAAATAAGAGGGGACGATACTTAATATGGTCTCAGAATAAGAGCCTCATAATTATCTTGGGGGCGGGTGCGGTCCATGTCCTCTGTAGCCACGTCGTTGCTGCTGCATTCACACCGTTTGCCGACGCGTCCCTCATAACACCTGGGGGGTAGGAGGGAGGGATTCACAATTTTGTGCTTCGGATGAGTCTTCCAACATTCTTATATCCAGAAGCCAGAAGCTTGCGGTGATATCAATCCTTACTTGCAGGCTCCACATTCGTAGGTCCCATTCCCAAAGTGACAGTCATCGCTGTTGGCGACACCCTCTTTATGGCATTCACACTCACAGATAAAGCTGAGGGTGATCTCGACCTCCTCTGTGAATCCCAGAGGCTTTATCTTGATTGTCTCAGGCTTTCCTTGCTTTGGACAACCTTGAGATGTCACACTGATGGTAAATGTAACCTGAAAACAAGGACAATCAAAACAGGATTGGGATTTAAACCTGTGAAAATAAGGAGCGCATGCATGTTTTCCACACATTTCTAGATGTACTTTTCAATCATCTACAATTAATTCATAATAGAGAAAGTAGCGCATTTGGCTGGGCAGTCACCTTTTTTTACTTGACTTCTTACAGTAGTCATCCTTAATGTATATTTGTCATAATGAAAGGAACAAATTCATAATAGAGAAAGTAGCGCATTTGGCTGGGCTTCAGTCACCTTTTTTCACTTGACTTCTTACAGTAGTTATCCTTACTGTATATTTGTCATAATGAAAGGAACGTCACATCAAAAAATGGTTTGAATGTGACCAATCTGGTCTTTTAACCCCCCTGCTGATTCGTCTGATGAAAATAACCAGGTTACGCATTTTCCAATGTGCCAAAGTCTATTCCTCACCTCATCTCCAATTGAAATATTGGAGCATTTGCGTCCATTTTCACCCTCAGTAATGACTCCATTCTTACAGCGGGATGTGTAAGCAATGGTCACTCCCTCCGGAAGCTTGCTGTTCTCCAAAATGACCTCAGATGAGAGCGACTGTCAAACAAAGAAAAGATAATAACATGGATGCAGTTTCGGGGTTTTTTTTCCCCCTGCAATGGAATGTCATCTGGTAGTTTTGTTTAGACAGACGGCTATACAAACGGCTTAGCTGAGTCTTCAATTATAGAAATAAGAGACACACATTGAGATTTTTTTTTTCATAATACGGTATTCAGCATATTTCTTCACTGTGTAAATAAAAGATGAACGCTAATTTTATCTTCCATCTACTGATGATTTCTTGTGAGTATCTGGTTATTCTAAAAAAAAGTGACAATGTTGCATTTAATTAAAAAGGCTTGATAAAGTGGTTCATGTGACATCCATATTTTGACTGTCTTGGCATCAGACTTACATTGTAAGCATCTATAATGAGGTTGATAACGTTGCTTGAGTTAGCAGACAGGGTGCCCACCGCAGACTTTGGTATTAGATTTTTCAGCTCCTGGGGACACAATAAAAAAATCACATTTCAGTGATTTATTATTTTTTTTGGATCTTAATTCTGTTAAATTTGTAGCATGTAATCCAAATATGCACTGAAGCACTGCGCTATGGACACAATGGCATCGTTCAAGTTTTATTGCTCAGAAGCCCACCAGGGCTTCTGTGGGGTCAGGCATGAAAAGAACCTTGATCATACTCAGCTGGCACAAGGTTATATAGCTCCACGGCAGATTGAAATAATCAGAGATTCAAGGAGGTGCTGCCTTTAATTTGAAACAGATGTCCTGGCGTAGTCGGATTTTTTAAAATGCTATTGTTAAATGCACAAAGTAGTTCCTGGTGTCATAGTTACAGCAAGTCATGTCTGGGGCTCCGTTACTTCCTATGAGATCTTCAACAGTATTTCGACATGAGAGAAAATCAAAAACTAACTTGATAGACAGGCTGAAACTCCTCTGTGACAGCAAATATGGTTTGTATGTTGTTGTCACTCAGCTTCTGAACCAAGTGAGCGATCGAGGGATAGTCCTGAAAGAAGGAAAAATCGTTCAGTTTAGAACCGAATTTCATGGCCACGTGAGAAGAGCGGCCATGTCTTATTCCCACAATTAGAAAACTTGGACACTCACATAGTAGTGGCTCATGGTGTACGAATTGTTCTCCAAGTGACATTTTCCATCATTAGGCAGAACGATGCCACCTAGCTTGCCATCTCCTGCAAAGTGGAAGCCAGCGTCAGTGGAAAACACCAGAAGGCGAGTCACGTTCCTCCAACCAATCTGCTCCTGAGAGATGAGAAAAATGCCGACGTTGTAAAATACTTTCTGTTTTGATCATAAAATGTGCGTGACATGATATTGAACACATGAATTGAAATCTCGGTGAAGGGCTCATTAAAAAAGGCTGCGGTGGCACATCAGCGTCGAAACATAGATACGGTTGAGGGAAAACAACCTGGAAATCTGCATACGATTAGTGCCGCCGGCGCACGTTCACCGAATCGGTTTAAAATGTGTGTTTTGTTTTTACCGCATACCCCACACACAGCCACTTGCATGATGGCATCAAAGCCACCCTCGGGAGAGTCCAGGTTTCCAGAAATGTGCTGCTGGCCCACCAGGGTGTTGAACCTTTTGCCATCACTGGTGAGCTTAAGGACGTTCTTGTAGCTAAATGGGCTGGTGCAGTTCTGGTCGCCGGTGCAGGGGTTCAACAATTTGGCTGGGGTGGTGCTGATGTACGGCATAACTGTCTTCTCCACAAAAGAGCCAAAGCCTAAGACCATTTTTTGAAAAATCAAACACAGGAATGACACAATGGTAAGTGAACCCAAAATTAACCAAACGTCTCAACACACTCACACACACCAATGGTGAAATCAATTCCATACCTATCCTGAAGTCAGATGTGATCTTTGACATTTCTAGCATTAAACTGGTTCCCAGGTTCTTGACGTTCTCCAGATCGTCTTTCATGGAGTAAGAAAGGTCCATCAAGTAGTACAAGTCGAGGGGATAATCTTCTGCCCGCTTGAATTTCAGGTTGAAAGACTGAGGCTCCCCTGTCCACACAAGTCGGATGTTCCACTCAATACAAGCAGAGATGATAATCAGAGAAAGCTTTGTGAGTGACGGGTGTTCACCTGATCTGAGGGTGAGACTGAGCTTCTGGGGTTGGATTTGAGTGATTTCTTCTGGCTTTAGTTTCTCCGCTCCCTTCCTGCGATTGGTTACCATTTTGTTCCTGAGGATCCTCTTTTCTCCACGAGGGTTCTCTATCAACCTCTCTCTACACCCTCTGTTTGTGAGAGACTGCAGCTCATCACATCGGGTAGACACGGTCTCACCTTGTTTTAGGAAGTCCTGAAATCAACAGTTAGTCGAGCCAGAAATTAAAACGCATTGATCTGCTCAGATGCCGTGCTTTTACGCAAGCGTATGGAAAAAGGAAAGAATGATTTCCATCGGTTACGATCCAAAATGCTTATCATTGATTGATTTTTTTTTTTTTTTTTTAAGAGCATCGATTCATACCGGGTCTGTACACCAGCCACATTTCGCTCCAGCCTGGATGCACTCCCCGCAGTATCTGGCATTTGCACTGATGCACTCATTCCCCTCTGGATGAAAAACAAAGAGAAAAGAAGAGGATGCAGTGTCACAGAGTGCAGCTTATAGCCCCTGCCAAGTAAGCAGCCCTGTAAGCCCCCTGTCTTTACATGTCAGTTCATCTGGAACGTTGTGGCTCTATCGTCATCGGAGACAGGATTGGAATATCCAGCCACCATTATTCTCTCCATGATGCTGAGGTGGACCTTCAGCGCTCGTCAATGACATCGTCGGGTTATAGCCGCTACCTCTTTTTCGAGAGAGGATGTAGTCATCACGATGACTAACGCATTTGGATTTCCGGCTTACGTCACTGATACTGACATGCGGCAGTGTAAAAAAAAAAAAAAAATCTGGTGTTTTGTGTAACAGAGATCAAATCTACCTTTCTGAGCGTTGCAGAAGACTCCAACCAATGTAGATATCAAAAGCAGTTTCAGGTCCATCTGAAAGAAACGTGTGAACATGATTTTCCATTCCTTTATATTCTCTTTAATCCACAAATCAAGCACAATCATGTATTCAGCAACAGAACCCATTTTCTTGATGTTCATGGTTGCCCTAACACTTGAACTCAAAACTTCCTGTAAAATAAATACATAAATACATTGCAGTGAAGAACAAAAGGCTTGACCGATTGAATCTGTAAACGGGTGAGGCTTAACTGGTGGTAATAAATTATTGTGTGTGTGTGTGTTGGGGGGTTGCGTTTGGGGGGGTTGGGGGGGCTATTTTCAGTCCGTTGCAGGGCAACAGCAAGTTAATTCAATTCAGACACACAAACATGCATCGGGAATATGCGCATGCACTCTCAAACAGGCGGATCGTGGACGACACTCTGCCTTTTCCCACAATTCCTTTGACTGTAAATAGCCTGAGCTCCCCCGAGTCCTTCTCTCGCAATGCATTTTGAGCTCCTCTGATCAGCCAAATCGATTCATCCCCTCTTGCGCTTAATACAACCCTCATGATTTAATAATGATGAGGGGACCGTGCTGAACAGCTGAAATGGGAACATCTCAAGTCACGCTAGACTAAAACTGCGGTTTGTCACTTTGCGTGGCTCCTAAAATACATATGACGATAGACAAAATTCTTTCTCTCGTAACTATTTTCTCAACCTCGGAAATTTCAGTACACGTTTAACGTTCCACATTCTCGGCAGTCCACTGTCAAGTATTTCAATTTAAAAGAAAAAAAATGACAATAGCCAAAACAATAAAACAATAGGTAGAAGACCCGTAAACCACAAATTCCTGAACGTCATTGCGAAGAGAATTTCCACAAGAGTTCACCAAATGCAATTATCCGGGCAGGAGTCCATAATTAGAGTTTGATGCGACGAGTTATTACTCTTGTTTTAGAGCAGAAGTAGTCCGTGCCTATTCATAGAGGCTCCATAAAAAAACTGCATTCCCTGATACTGCGGTCAACGAAGCGCTGACGTTCAACGTGGGGTGTTAAGTGATGCATTCCCTCAGTGCTTGAAGTGTGTGTCCCCACCGGTGTCCGATTATGAAGACACATACGCGTCGACGGTTTGTCTCCAGCCGCCGAGATTAGCCTCCAGTACTGTTCACTGGTGGGTGCATGTGTGTGCCATAACAAGATATGAGATAAGTAGCGCATTTAGCCAAGCTGTGGCAGTGGCCGCCATCATATTTAGGACAAGAGACAAATCTGATATCGTGACAAAATATAGCTTGTCTTTACCGTCAGCGAGAGAGAGAAGCAATTGTATGTACTTTTTAATTGGCGTGATCGTGACAAAATATAGCTTGTCTTTACCGTCAGCGAGAGTGAGAGAAGCAAACACTGTACACTAACTTTGGCCATCATAACGTTCCCCGACATGATGTAGGACTGAAAAAGCAAGTAGAGGTACAACAGTTTTTTTTCTAATTTCAGACAAAACATCTTCATCGTTTATACGTTTTAATTGGCGTGAACTAAAAGTAATGTTTGTTTACACAGCATGTAATGTTAAAAGGCTTTTGTCAGGATATACAGTTGAATGTCAAGTTACGATTGGCCCTCAGCTTCAAATACAGACAGACACCAGCAATGTGTCAGAAGCCTGTGAAGCTTTGCAGCTGCTCAGAGGAATGTTCTTAAGAAAAGTGGACTAACTTTGTAGAGCAGAGAGCAGGCTCAGAAAGGGCTTACTGGGGGGAGATAGTCCGCCTTTCAAATCCTCCTCCGTACCTCAGAATGTTGTAAATTACAGTATCCATGACGGGCCATAGGTGGGGAGGTGGGAATGGCGTGTCCCAGAGGCTTAAACGCACCCTATGATTCGGCATCTTGACCACTGATTTCAGTCCTGTATTATCTGTCGCCACAAAGAAGCAAGGAAGGAAGGAAAGTGAGAGAGCAACAGGAAAATGGGAGCGGGTCTGTTTGGCCCAGATGACGTGAACCGCCTTGATTGATGACGGGGTCATGCAGGTTTTAGATGAGGGGACTGTGTGTGGGGACAAAACCCAGTTTACACTTTTAACCTAAGTAGTATTCTTCTCTTTTGCTTTCAAAGACTCAAGCGCACTTGACCCCATTCTATTCATATCTGCACGGTGGCTGGCAAACGTTTTGACAGACTTTCTTTTTGATATCTCGCCAGGCACCTGCCACAATCACAGCATGATCCGATTGCTGATTCCGTACCTCCAGGTTGTCTCAAAATCATCCGATTCCATCCACAGTTGCCTGAAATGTTGAAAGGCCCACTTCTCAGGCGTCTCCAAAAAAATTAACCTGAGTGATTTGATGTGAGTCCTGCATGTTTTAGTTTCCATTCTCCCCCCTCCAACACACCTGATTTAAACGACCAGCTCCTCATATTTGCCAAAGTAAAGATGCAATTATGAAAATTCAGCCAAGGGAAGGAAAAAAAAAATGTTTTAACTTTTAACATTCTTGTACTAAAACAGCTCTGAACATGTACTTTTGAATTGAGGAGGGGAGTTAGGGAAGAAAAAAAAAGGGCAAAGTCAGCAGAGGCAAGCAAAGTTTGTGGGATCCTTTCTTCTGGAATTGAGTCAGCCTCTTTGCCTCAGAGTTGGGGAATATGCGCCGCCCTTTCCTGTTTTTCCTTCTTTTCCATTCCTCCTTAGCACGTCTGGGGAAGAACAGATAGTCTAAGTGCAGGAAAGCCTGGGCTTTTTCTTAAAAAGAGCATTGTGAGTTTGCGCTGCCACCACATTTTACTGTTGAAGTCCTTTGCTACTTTACTGGCACCATGGAACTGCCGGTTATTATTCACTAGGGAGCGCTTGCTCTCCTTCAGTGCTTAATTTTAAAGAGAGTCAATTCACTAATGTGTAAGCAAATTGTGCATGGCTCCATTTTATTCAGTTGATTATAATCACGATTCATGCCGTTCATGACCCTAAAGCCACGCTTGGCTGCATTGTCCAAACAGGTCGACATTTACCGGAATGTGTCTTCAAAAGAGATGATTCCGCTACTTTGTATAAAAATAAATTTTGCACATCAGGACAGAACAGCAAAAACAGTAACATACTGGGTTTCCATCATGCTTTCGGTCTCTCCAGAGTTATCTGGCATATCTTGGGGCATTCCACACTCGCCCCCGCCCCCACTTCACTCCTCTTTCCTTCCTCTCCCACTTTGCCAGCATCGCAATCCGCAGCTCATTTGTCCAATATGAGCCAAACCAAGCCAGCCAGTGACCCCCTTGACTTCAAACAGTTATGAGAGGGATCATTTTGGCACTCCCAGACATGACACGGCTTCCGACAGAGCTGAAGGGGAATATCAAACAGCCTCTTCCGCTGTCTCTGTCCATTCCCCACCCCCCTAGTCGCCATTAGAAAGATCCTCTCATGGAGGACAAAAGCAATGAATCAGGCTGTCCTTTGAGACTTTGAAAAAGGATCTAATTCTTAATGTGTCCCCACTCACTGGCTCCCCTCTCCCATTAAAAAGAGGCCCTGCGCGTAATGACCTGCAAAAATAATTCTTGGTTGTGCTTTATTTGGAGCTGTGGCAAATCTAAACATTTTGGGTCGGTCACAATAATAAGGCTCATCCTCACAACATTTGATATTGAATTAAGGTTTGTATTGATATCTTAAATGTCAGCTTTGTGAGGAGCTTCAAGAGCATGTTGCTGGTCTTAAAACTCCTTCTCTGCATTTTATACAAAAAGCCACTTGGCCACATAAGCTGGCCTGAAGCCAGCCAGCATTCCGTATACGTGTGACAAAGGCTAAAGATATACTCCTCTGCAGGGATACAGACTTGAGACGACTTACTTCTCCTGGTCAGGCAATCAATAATGTGTCAGTTGTATTGGGTTCTTTTCAACAGTTAAACCCATTGATATGGAATAAAGCTTACACTCCAAAGCTGTTTGTTCACTAGTTTGACAGAAACAATCAAAATTTACACGCAGCATTAGGTCACGTCCATGTCACCATTAATGGCTCTGTCGCGAGGGTGAAAATAACTATACAGTGCGGGAAAGATATTTCTGACTCATCCTTAACACCTGGCATCTGCAATCACTCCAAACGGTAGACCACCACAAAATAACCCCAATTGCACCCAGCCTCCACCCAACACACACACTTGAACATGTTGTCAAGTGGTTTCAAAGGCAAGTGCCCATTTGTGGTTAAATCTATTTTTATTTCGGATTCAGGGGCACATAAACCCAAATTGATTCAAGGACAAGACTGTGGCAATTTGAGAACATCTCAAGAACAACTCGGGTTGGTATGAAAAAAATGATGGTGGACATCCAAGAATGTGAGTAAAATGGAAATATCCTGAGAGTGGAAAATCATCTGGGTGCTTTGACTAAGTATTTATCCAGGTACTGTTTTAAAACTGCTGTCAGATGAAGTTTAGTATATGAAGACAAACTAAACTGCAGAAGAAATGTCGCTCCGGCAAAGGATCAAAAGGAGGAGGCACTTGCCAAACGTAAAAAATAGTCTTCATGTCAATGAGAAAATGTGTGGTAAAAAGATACAAGTGCATCAAATACAATCAAATGGTTCCACTTTCAACTTTTATTGGCGAGCTCTATCCGTGAAAAAAATGCCACATTTACAGGACTGTCAACAAGTTCATCCATATAGAACGTACTGTATGAAAAATGATGAGAAACGCATTGCATCACACCTACCATGTGTGATTTAGTTCAAGGACATTTACTGGAGGAGCCACTTGGAGAGGGGGCTCATGACTGAAATTTCTTGTTTGACTTTTTCACAGCGACGTCAATTGCAGCAGATAAAAACGACATATCAAAGTGGAGGCAACATGGCTGCTGTGCAGATGTTTTGGTTCGCTCCTGTCCTCATCTGCCTTTCATGAGGTGCTTTGGCAAGCTTACACTTAAAGCTGTCATCGCGAGAGTCCGAGCATGGAAGACTTACAGCACTGCAGCTCTGCTACCATGAAGAAAAGACAAATCGGAGATGGGTTCCCGTGCATGTTCCTCCCACCTGGCAAGCGAGTGCCCGAAGCCGCTGCAGTCAAAGCCCAATTGTGAGCCCGGAGCTTTGCGAGGAGGAGTCTCCAAATGCTCAAGTCTCCACAAACCGCACTGTCTTTGTGAAGCTGGCCCTTCCTCTGCTGAAACACAGGAAACTTAACGAGATCACACAGGAAGCCTGTATTATGTTGCTGGAGAAGCAACCCCATCTGACCCCCCCCCATCCCACTAGCCTTCCCCCACAACAGCAGCATTAAGTGACATGGTTTACATTAAAGTTACAGAAAAGAGTGAGGCAGAAGTCTCGGGTGTCATTTGAATGAAGTTAAAGATGCACACAAATAGCGACATCGGTACTGTATTTATTTTCTGGGATAGTGAAAGAGAACTGCACCGCTTTCCGGAACCATTTAGATAATAAAATGACGGCACGTCTGCAGTGTCAGACAAAAACAGCTGTGAAGTATTAATCAGGAGACCATGTCTGGATTTAGACCTTTTCACGGGGGCTGCTGGTCCCAACAGCCTCGGCGCCGCTTCTGCTGGGAGACAAACTTTATCCACTCTAAATAGTCGTCAAGTATACTTGTGTGCATTTTTTAAATGGAATCTAGCACGCGCCTGAGCAAAAGCAGCCCACGTGCACAACACAGGCCAGCTGACGGTAGCCAAGATGTCATAAAGAGAGACGACAGTGCTGCCTGCTCCGTTTGCCTGAGCACATACAGCAACGTCCTAAAGAGAAGCAGTCCAAAGAGGTCCAGCTGTGGCCACCTCTGCTTGAATGTGCAGAAACTGCCACATTAATGAGGAGCACATGTCTTTCATTTGGACCCAGTTTTGACACTTGAACTAGAAGGCCTCTATTTCCGCTACAACGGGAGAGGGAGAACTCAGCGGACTGTAAGCACGCCATGATGACTTTTGGAATCAGACGACAACTGCCTCGTTTCATTTTTCAACGCACGCTTCGAGGTTTCTGGCTGAACGTTGTGTTTATACTTTTACAGTATACAGACTCACGGGGCTTGTAATTACACAAGGAGCCCTGCTGCAGACTTGTCACACTTGGTCTTCGCGCTCCTGAGAGGAAGTGTGGAAGAATGGCCGTTATTGCCGTACCAGTTGGGATGCTGTCATGGTTTATTATGGGCTCATTGAGTATTGTCAAATCCCGCTTTGGTGATGTCTGCTGTTTGTATGTTTCTTTCATCGAGAATATATGTGCTAGTGTATATCTGATTGTGACTCAGTGGTTAATTCTGAGTGTCAAAAAGACCCATTCACAAAGACGGAGAACACTGTTTCCATTGTTTATGATGTGACTAGCTCCAGCCAACCTGTGAACTTTTGACAATCTCTCTCTTTTCCCTCAAAACGGCATATTTCTACGTGACGTTTTACAACGGGGTGTCACTTCGAGTGTCGCACAAGGAATCGATGCACTTTCAACGTGGAGAAAATGCAAGCTACGTCAGCAGCTGAGGTCATAATGTAATTTCCGACAGTTCATTTTTTTCTATCATTATCTCAAAACGAAGATGATGCTCCATTTTTACCGTCCACAGAGGTATTTAACAATCTGTAAATTTTTTAAAATATATTAATGTAGGCCAATATATTCTGCACATGTGTACCAGTCTACTTGAAGTTGCATTAAGATGGTGACCATTTGAAAATAAGAAAGTAAGTCAGCTCTTACTCATGCTAAACAGATTTTAATGTCTTTACAAACGTCAGGTTTTCAGAAGCGTTGGTATGAGTTACATCTGACTCTTGTTAGTGATTAAGGTAACACTCCCCGGCAGAGTCTCTGCTTATTCCAAAAATGCGTGCCAAACAAACATTCCTGTTCCCAGCTCACAGACCAAGCTGTGACAATAAACAC